AAAAAATGACGTGCATCAAGGTCCTATTATGTTTAATGTATGTACCAAATTTGAATGAAATCCGTCCATGCATAACTGAGATCCGGGTCCGGAATGGTGAAAATGTGCGATTTCAATGCATTTTCGGCCTTAAAGTGGCCGCCATTTGGCTATCGTTAATGAGATCATGAAACAAATGCAAATACATATTTGTGACATGATGTACCTTGTGTGTGTGAAGTTTGAACTCGATCAATCCAAGCATGTCTCAGATACGGATCCAGAACTGAATTCTTTAAAACAAAATGGCCGCCAGTCGGCCATTTCGAACCCGATCCAAAAAAAAAAATGACGTGCATCAAGGTCCTATTATGTTTAATGTATGTACCAAATTTGAACAAAATCCGTCCATGCATAACTGAGATCCGGGTCCGGAATGGTGAAAATGTGCGATTTTGATGCATTTTCGGCATTAAAATGGCCACTATTCGGCTATCGTTAATCGGATCATGAAAAAAATGCATGTGCATATGTCCCATATAATGTGTAATGTATGAGTGAAGTTTGAACTTAATCGGTCCATGCATGTTCGAGATACAGGTGATCACGGACGCACAGACACACGGACGCACGGACGGACACACACAGGGCAAAACATAAGTCCCCGTTTTCGGCCTGCGTCCGAACGGGGACTAAAAAGGGGATGATGACAGTGGAGCTAAAAAGGGGAGGATGACAGTAGAGCTAAAAAGGGGATGATGACAGTGGAGCTAAAAAGGGGAGGATGACAGTAGAGCTAAAAAGGGGATGATGACAGTGGAGCTAAAAAGGGGATGATGACAGTGGAGCTAAAAAGGGGAGGATAACAGTAGAGCTAAAAAGGGGATGATGACAGTGGAGCTAAAAAGGGGAGGATGACAGTGTATTAAAGTACTGTAAAATCTGTATTAAAATCTGCGGCTTCTATTGAAATGGTACAATGCAACAGAGGGGATGCGGCTTCTATTAGAGCATCTACACATATGAGAAATTGTGAATTTTTTGGTTCTAAATTGTTCAAAAAGAATGGGTGCGGCATCTATTAGAGATGCAGCTTCTAATACAGATTTTACGGTACTTACACTTTAGTAATAGAGCAAATATATGATATTTCCCAATTTGAACATTATGCCTTTAGTTTATGTGTTACAACTTTATTATACTTCAATATCCTTACTACTATTACTACTACTTACTATAATTATACTATAGCTAAACCCAATACCAAATATATACACATAATATTCATTAAACTATTGTATAATACTGTAGAATACTTTATTTTCGCTATTTTCGCTGAAGGGAAGACTCCGTGAAAATAAAATCCAGCGAATATACTTTTTTTCCTATATTTCACATTAAACTCATCAAAAATCAGCGAAAAATAAATTCCATACAAAACGCCCAAAAAGCCTTCTTAGCGAAAATTAAGTCCAGCGAAAATAAAGTATTCCACAGTACTATGCATAGTCTAGAGTAAATACTGTATGCATTTATATATAAATAACCAAATGTAATCTCCCCTTTTACCTTATGTTGACAACAAAATTGCCATCAACTTGTAATAAACATCATGCATAAAGACTTATATTGCATGAAATATGATTGCATACTCACAGAGCATCTTGTGGAAATCCTCTTTTGTGAGAAAGTACAAGACACCCCATAACCATGCCAACAGTTGTTCTGCACACTCCTACATGTCCATTGAACACAAAAGCTGGTAATGACGGATCATCCTTCTCAAAAAGTCGTGGATATTCCTAGAGAGGAGATAAACAATATTTTCATTTCACATGTCAATATAATATATAGGTCACTATAGGTTAATGTTTGTCATTGTAGGTCATTATAGGTTAATGTATGTTAATGTATGTCATTGTAGGTCACTATAGGTTGATGTAAGTCATTGTAGGTCTCTATAGGTTGATGTATTTCATTGTAGGTCACTATAGGTTGATGTATGTCATTGTAGGTCTCTATAGATTGATGTATGTCAGTGTAGGTCACTATAGGTTGATATATGTCAGTGTAGGTCACTATAGGTTGATGTATGTCATTGTAGGTCACTATAGGTTGATGTATGTCATTGTAGGTCTCTATAGGTTGATGTATGTCAGTGTATATAGGTCACTATAGGTTGATGTATTTCATTGTACGTCTCTATAGATTGATGTATGTCATTGTAGGTCTCTATAGGTTGATGTAAGTAAGTAAGTAAGTAATTCTTTATTGCTATCGTATCCCATTTGAGATCTTGACAAAAAGTACAATAAAGTCAAAAACATGTAATAAAAAAAAAATGAAAATAAAAGGAAATACTAAAAATACAGTAAATGAATGAAATAAATACACATCTCACAATAAGAGATAAATGAATAATTGTAATATAATGTAAATAAATGTAAATCTGTGTTTTGTGGGTTTTTTTTTTTTTTTGAGGCAGCTGGTACTGAAGTTATTGTTTGATTTTTTGCTCCCTAAGCATAAAGCAAGTATAAATGTGTCAGTGTAGGTCTCTATAGGTTGATGTATTTCATTGTAGGTCACTATAGGTTGATGTATGTCATTGTCATTGTAGGTCTCTATAGATTGATGTATGTCAGTGTAGGTCACTATAGGTTGATATATGTCAGTGTAGGTCACTATAGGTTGATGTATGTCATTGTAGGTCACTATAGGTTGATGTATTTCATTGTAGGTCTCTATAGGTTGATGTATGTCATTGTAGGTCTCTATAGGTTGATGTATTTCATTGTAGGTCTCTATAGGTTGATGTATTTCGTTGTAGGTCTCTATAGGTTGATGTATGTCATTGTAGGTCTCTATAGGTTGATGTATGTCATTGTAGGTCACTATAGGTTGATGTATGTCATTGTAGGTCTCTATAGATTGATGTATGTCAGTGTATATAGGTCACTATAGGTTGATGTATTTCATTGTACGTCTCTATGGGTTGATGTATGTCATTGTAGGTCTCTATAGGTTGATGTATGTCAGTGTAGGTCTCTATAGGTTGATGTATTTCATTGTAGGTCTCTATAGGTTGATGTATATCATTGTAGGTCTCTATAGGTTGATGTATGTCATTGTAGGT